GCTATTTAGAATGCTAAACTTCGAGCGCATTCCCGATGCTTTTCATCTCAGGCTCGTAGTCCACGAGACATTTTCCTGGCTACTATGGCAGCAGCCAGACTACCATGAGACAAAAGACGGACCAGGTTCAGTTAACTGTCAGTCGAACAAATAAAAATTAAATCTTTAAATACTGTTACATTAAAAGAGGCTCTCTATAGAACACAACCGATCAGTTATGTCACCTGTTTCGCCTTCCCCTATTACCCTGTCATACTCAAAATTTTTTCCTGCACTCAAATTTATCTGTTAGCGGGTGTGGTCCTCTGCTGACAGTTGCTTACTTCTTACATACTACTCTCGAGGTATGTTTTGCGCAAATCACGCGCGCGCTCCATGAATAGGACGTGCTTCTACCTCTCCAACCAGAAAATGCCTACTTTGTGAATTATCCGCTTGGGAAACCTGATCTTCCTAGCTGGTGAATTATATTCAACCATTACTTAAATACTGAACCTCTGTGTGGTAAGTCCAGCTGTCTCGAACTACTGCCAAAGGTTCAGGTGCCATTTCTGTGGCAACATCTTCCTCGCTTGTTTAGATAAACAAGACTTGTTCGTCTACTACGTGACTTCTGTGAAGCCAATCATCCAGAATATACTAGGTAAAGTCGAATACCGTTTCTTTCCTTATCTTGTATTTTATCAGTCTTATTCTTGTTCTTTTGGGTAGAGACTATTGCTCTCTTATTCGTACATAGCATAAGTCACAGTGATTGTCAATATGGCTGTTGAGAGTAGCCTTAGAAAAAGCAATAAGACATCATATTCTGTAGTCACAAGGGCGCAATAACCCAGGGACATCAACTCCTTCCCGCATGCCGATCCTAAAGACTCGTGTAGGTCTCGCCTGTTCTGATACTACGCCTGCATTGCTGCAGCCTAGCACTGAAACGGTACGGGCGATGCCAGGTGGACAGGAAACTACACCTGGATCCACTGAAAGCCAGTGCATGAAACACAGCAAAACAAAAAAGAAGCCCTCGAGACGTCATAAGACCTTGAAAGTGTCATCAAGGAAGGGAGACGAATGTCAGTGTAGTGTCATCGTTTCGAAAACTGACTCAGTATTTGAATACGATTTTCGCAAACGATGGGTACACTGCCGTTGTGACGATGGGGTGCCGAAATCATACTACTATAACCCATGCCCATGATTTTGCTACATCTGCCCACTTTGTCGCCCTGGCACAGTCCCACACAGCGTGTCTGCGAATAGCAGAAGCAACCTGCCCATTCTTGTGTCTCTACACAGTCTCACGAAGCTCCCCACCTGCTAACATCACACTGGTACAGACAGTAAGAAGGACACTCCAGTCCTACTGACTGGAAATGCCAATTTTCACAAAGTGAAGAGTCCCAAGGTTGCACCCACAATATCAGGGAAAGATAGAATTACCAAAGCACCACTTGCATCCACTAGCAAGCTTGACAACACAGAAAAAGCTGTTCAAAACCTGATGAAGCCTAAAGTTACTGACTCTGCAAAGGAATACAAGCAGCCAAAGGCCAAATCTAAGTCTGAGTTCAGTCGGTCTAACTCTCTTATCCTTTCTAATGTACCTGTGAGCAAGGATAGCTTGCTTGAACAACGGGCCCTTTTTGATCAGGAACAGTGGTCCAACTTGTGCAATAAATTAGGTCTGAACATTAGTTCAGCGAAGCTGTGCAGGTTGTATAGGGGTGTCAACACGCCTGAGGGTAAGCCACCATCATTAAGGATTACACTGGACTTTGCCGAAGAGACAGAAAGAATACTATTAATGGCTCAGGTACTAGCCATCGACAGAAGTTCTCGCATAGGGGTGAGACATAACATAACGCACAAATGGCGAGGGAGTCACTGGAACTGATGCCTTCTACCTCTGTGGTCGTACACAGTGTTTCTGAGCTTGAAACGGGCACTGATTGTGAAAACACATGCATGACGTACAGCAATGGAGATGGCTGTCATCTCAGATAGCCCTCGGCGCTTCTGGAGCAATCTCCATTTTCCGGCTACCTGGCCCCACTCATCTCACATTGATTAGCTCTCCAAGGCTGCTAAGTGTCACATTCAACTCCCCAGAGCAGATGGCCATAGCACTTCAACGGTGGTGTGAGATCAAGGGGAAAATGGAAGGACACATCCGATGCTGCGAAAGCAGACCCCGAACCACAAGGAGGCAGAAAAATGAGGCCTTAATACGTCCCCAAGCCTCAGTGACACTAAAGCGATGCAGTACTGAGAATAACAGTCTGTGTCACCCAAGTGTTCTATTCGATTACAAGGACAACGACAACAATGAGCGGGTTTCATCGAAATCGGCCAACTAGACCCGACATAGGGTCCCTACCGGCAGGCAGCTTAGCGTCAACTACCCCATAGCACACTGGGGTTTTGAGACCCACTGTCAGCTGCCTATATAGCAATGTGAGGGGGCTGAGAGGAAAAGTAGGCGAACTCCGAAATTTCCGGTCACACCTACTACTTAAAATAATCATTCTCACTGGCCAACCCCCACTATAGCCGAAAGGGAAATCAGTATAGGTGATATGGTTCTGGTCAGGAGAGACAGGGATAATAAGGAAGGGGGGAGTCGCTATATACTCTGACAGGCAACTTAAATTCGTGCGCGCAACGGACCCATCATTTATTGAACTCCCAGACTCCATATGGTGTCATTTCACCGTAGGTCACACCAAGCAATTACTGGGTGACATCTATCGATCACCCACCTGTGGGGCAGATCACAACCAGCTACTGCTCAGCACCATCACAGGGATACGGGACTTGGGCTACGACCAGATCACCATAGCTGGAGATTTAAGTGCCCCATCACTGAACCTTGGCTCGGGGTATGTTAAGGGAAAATTTGGCCAAAATCTACTGCAAACTATTCGAAATACAGGACTGACTGAGAATGTTGGAGAGGATACTAGGTGGGGCCCTACTGGAAAGTCATCGAAACTAGAGCACATCCTAATTAGTAACCAACTGCTCGTCGAAAAGGTCCAGATCATGGCTCCTCTAGGAAGTAGTGACCATGCAGTCATAGGTTTCGATCTCGTCCTCCGCGAGCATTTGCAGTGGGACGTTACGCGACCATGTCTGTGTTATAGCAAGGCTGACTGCTGAAATGCGGAGGCATTTGTCCGACAAAGACTGGCTCTCATCATGGGATGAATTACCTGTGGATGAACACTGGGAAGTGATAAAAAAGATTATTCATACAGCAATCTCGGATACCGTCCCTTTAGTCACAACACAGCCAAAAAGAAAGTCATCATGGCTTGAGAGAAGCACGCAACGTATTCTGCAAGCAAAGCTAAAGGGTTGGCTTACGTGGCGCGTATCTAAGAGTCAGATCGACCACGATGCGTGCCTGGAACTCAGGAACCGGTGCAATGCAAGAGTCAGGAAGGACAGGAGGTCATTCCAGGCTAACCTTGCTAAAAAGCTCCTAGCAAACCCCAAAAACTTGTATCGATTCATGTCGGAAAGAAAACCAACCAACCGGGGGCAAGCGCCTTAGTAGGCCCAAACGGTCAATATCTCACTAGTCTGGAGATGGCTGAAACATTCAGTTTAGCCTTCGCCAAACAGTATTACCGGTATTACCGGTACGGAACAAAATGGTCACACTACTATTTCACAGGAGGAAGATCTAGTGTCTACTCTTCAAATAAGACTCCCAGTGGGACTAGGGAGGCTACAGAGACTCACATCTGGAAAGTACCTAGGTTGTGACGAAATCAGGCCATCTGTTCTGAAACAGTGCTCCGAAGCTCTCTGTAGGCCCTTATGCGACTTGTTCCAACACTCATTGGATTCGAGGAAACTGCCAAGGGGGTGGGAAAGAGCCATCCTATCTCCAATTTTCAAAGGTGGTTACAGGCGAAATGCCACTAGCTATAGACCAGTAGCTCTACTCCCAGTGGTATCAAAAGTACTGGAAACTATTATTGACAATCACATCAGGGAATACCTCGGTAGTTCTAGTATACTCCATAAAGCCCAACATGGTTTCAGGAAAGGCAGGTCCTGTGTAGCAAACCTGCTATCAGCTTGGGATGATTGGACATCATGCTGGGATATGAATGTTCCAGTCCATGTGATCTTCCTGGGCTTTGAGAAGACATTTGATACAGTTCACCATGACCTTCTCCTATACAAAATAAGTCAGGCAGGTATTGGTTAGCCACTTCTGTCATGGTTAAAGGACTACCTAGCTGAAAGGCAATTTTGCACTAAAGTCAGTCGAGTCCAATCATCTTGGCATGGCTCGTCATCAGGAGTGTTGCAGGGTTCTATCCTAGGACCACTGATGTTTTTGATTTTTGTCAATGATCTACCATACCGTCTAAGCTGCCCGATTCTTCTATACGCTGATGACGTAAAGATATGGAGGGCGACAAAGTGTCCGGAGGACTCAGATAGACTTAAGGCAGATCTAAAATTTCTGGAAGACCGAGCGGTGGCCAATGGCATGACTTTCAAACTGAAAAAGTGCAAAGTAGTGAGATTACGCACCTGTAGACTGTATAACGCAAGTTACACCCTGTGCGATGAAAGCTTGTCCTGCACAATGTCGAAGCGCGACTGAGGTCTAGTTCTAACGGAAGAAATGGACACAAGTGTAAATTACACGGGAGATGTAGCGAGGGCATATGCGGTTATACACTTTACACATAGACAGTTAGGTGCAATCACTCCTGAGCTCTTTCTAAGGTTGCAAAAAACATGAGTCAGGCCACACCTTGAAGTGCATAATATTATTGCATCCCCACCGCTTAGAAGAGACGCCAACCTCCTGGAAAGAGCCCAACGAGGGCAACAAAAGGAGTGGTTGGTCTCCGAAAAAAACATGATGAAAGGCTAAAGAAATTAGGCCTATTACCAATAATCTACCGTCGGTGTCCTTAACTGGGTTCACAGAAAAGGCACATAGCTTGTACATTGTGTTTTCTTTTCCATACATTGGAGGGAGTTTCAATGGTTGCGTTGCAACGAGTGACCTTCAGTAGTTTGTGTGTAGCTGGTTCGTTATGTATGAATTTTTGTACGATCTAATGTATGGTTTTTATACTTTAGCTGATTTACTTACAGTTTACCAATAGACAGTTTGCTAGGGTAATATGTTCCGTTGATAATGACTGCATTACGTATGATGAACTGTTTCTTTAAAATTATCTCAGAAACGTCTTCATTGAGTTATTGTTTAGTATTAATGGTAATACAAAACGTTATGAGATCCCATTTAATGTTGTGAAATTTCTAAGCGTCGAAGTTTTACAGGAATTTATGGCACAATGAGCTTATGTCTTTAAGGTGGTAGTAGAACTTGACGGACTTTAAATTCCCTTTCATTCTTACTTAGTGTCATTGGATTTCATTTGAAAAACCCATGACTGGATAATAGGTTAACGTAGTGTGTGTGGTATTCGCTGACTGAAGTTTTACAGTCTTATTAAAGTTCAAATCCATCCCGATAATCAGATAGATTATCTTACTGTTATGATGTGTATCGTAGGTCTAGTTCGTCAACTGAGATGCAAATAGACAGGTTGTCTCATTAGTCCTCATACAATGTGTTTGTTTTATTACCATCTACAAGTGGTTGTTGAGTAACACTTCATTTTTCGGTGAGTTTAGACTCGTTACAGCAGCCAACCTGAACTGTCTTATCACAGACCTTATCCACCTGATTAGTAATTAAAGTTGCAAACTTATTCGAAAGATGGCTAAAAATCATTTTCTGAGATCATATACTTCTGATTCTGTTCTTTGAACTATCACCAAAATTCCAGTCCTTTCGAAATACTAGTTATCCTATAAAGTGTCATCGGGATATGCACGCTTCAGTCACCTCAAATATACTCAATACTTCTTGGAATTCGTTAAGCAAATCTAGAACTGAAGGTACAATCCGATTTCAATATACTCTTCTGTAAATCGAACTGATTATCAAAGGTTATTTTCCGAGGTGTCTGCTATAGTTTGATTTCACCCATTTCTCATTTTCACCTTCCCAATGCTGTAATTCCTTCATTGTTGAAGCTACGCGTGACTGACGCTCACTTGTGAAAAATTTCTATCTCCACCAGCTGGTTTATATGCCAAAGTTTCAAACTACTATTTTCCGAACATCATAAGCTGCGACTGTAACACTTGAGTGTACTGAGGCTAAAGGTCTATGAGCTAGGTGTGTTGATATTGTGACAGTGATTATTGTACGCATGTTATCTTCCAAACTAATTGTGGTTTACAATAATTAGTGCGCTTTGTGAATTTCAGCGGAACAGTTAGATAAATTACACATTGTTTGTCCAATTGTGCTTGTTAGACGCAGGTCTTAGACATTGAGCATGGCAGACTGGCCGTCCGAATTACGGTGTAGGCTTCAATATAAACCTTTCTAATCTAAGATGCCTGCTTATTTAACCTGGGATCGTCCACCACAATTGTAAACGTTGCCTGAAGATGTAATCTATTGATTATAGCGCCATTCACGTCCGCAACCCTTCCCAACATTTTTGAGGTTATTACGATTTTATATTTCACACACATTAAAGTGCGGGCCATAATAGCTTGTTCTCACAGGTAGCTGACTCGCTGGTTAAGCTTGCCTGCCACAAGGGTCGAACTAGCTACACTGGCGAATACTAGTGTTCCACCCGGTCGTATCATGTCACGGCTTCAATGGATAGTGATTACGCTAAACACGGTTGCTATCATAGGGTAGGCTGCTTATACACCGACTGACTACAGCTCGGACGATATCAGTATGGGTTGTTTACAACTGTATGGTTTTCTGCTTAAAGCACAACCTTCAGATATCATGTTAGCTGCTGCATAGATAATGAACCATTGTGAGAGGCATACATATTTTTTATTGGACACCAGTCAGTAACTAGTGTAATGTGTGTAACCAGTCTTATCTTTAGTGCAGACTGAATTCTATCAGTCAAGTTTGCAATGTGGCCACCATGCTAGGTGGATCACCATCACGGTGCACTGTGAATTGTTAGTATTAGATGGTTGTAGGCCTTGGACCTAGACGTATATATTTTCCGACGTATGAAAATTATGACCTTTTGCCACAGTTCTGCCTATAATACTATGTGTTCTTGACTGGCATTATGAACTATCGTAGGTTAAGTCTGGATGTACAATTGTTGGGGTCGACCTTTTCTAACCCCTCTCCAGAGTGGAGAGACAGCATAGCTCGCATGCTGGCCGTCTAAGGGAAACGCCTTACTGATATTTGTAACCCTGTTCACCACAGACTCCCAGCATAGTGTAAAAAAGTTCTTACACTATACCAGTGACTGCTTTTAGTCTAATCGCTATCCCAACAACCTTCCTGGCACGGTAGGACCTGCAGGAACAATAGTTCCAGCTAGTGTAGCTTGTTGGTTCATTGTGATATGCAAACCCAACCACCAAGTTAAGGTAGCAATTATCAGTCGGGAAACTTAGGGGGAACAGTTGCATTTAACTCATTTTTATTGGTATTTCTTGAAGGGTGTATTAGTAACTTAGTAAATTTTCGTTTTATCATTCAGTTTGCTTTTAGAGACTGCCGAGGAATAAATAATAAAAATAACAGTCTTTATTTTGTAAATCAAATGCAAAGAAGGTAAGTTATTAGTTACTTATTGATCTCTACTCCTCTTAGTGTGTTTTACTGACTTCAAAGAAAGATATGTTATCCCATCAATCAAATTGCAACCAGGTTTCTGAAGACAATGAGTGTTCTAGAAGTACAACAGGCGAAAACTCCATCGAATCTACTTCATCCACACTCTTTTCTGACATTTTGGACGAGTTATCTGATGATGTACTTAAGAGTCGTCTACAATCCATTCTACTAAGCAAAGAGTCTGAGCTTCTTGAGTCTCAATCAGCTTACAAACATGCACAGAATGAAATTAATGAATCAAAAAAGCAACTCACCAAACTTGAATTAGAGTTAGTCAGTGTTAAAAGAGCTGCAGAAATGTTAATAGCTGAGCATGATGATGCATTATCTACTTTGAAAAAACAGTATGATGAAGAGTTGTCTTCACTATTAATGGCTTCCGAACAGGTGATTACAGTTTTCTTAGCTACCTAGCTGCAATTTTTTTTACTTCACTTATGTAATATATATATATATATATATATATCACCAAAAGTGTTCAGCCATTGGCTCTCAGCATCTGGACAGTTTGCACTTTCCTAAAAGTCTCATACCACCAGTGAGAAACTTCATATATGTAAACTGTTTTGATTTGATATCCCCTAACTTTTTTCCAGTCCAGTCGTATGTCGACTAACATTGATAGCGATGGATTGGCGTGCATAATGCATATCCTTGCCTTGTCCATTAGTGAAGGTTCATAATGTCGTTGATTGACTTTTCCTACTCAACTAACACTACATCCAGCCTCAATATTACTGACCATATTATACCACTTAACACGAGAGACTGAACGCAAATACCCATGGTCAAAGACACCTAGCCTGATGAAGTCTTTCATTTCCAACCTCCATGTCTCACAGCTGTAAAATAGGACGGAGCGAACTGCAGTGGAATATTCAAAAGCTTTTTAATAGAAAGCCGAATATCACATATATGCTAGAGATGATGTGAATTGGCGAATGCCACACTGATCTTTTTTTATTTATGCTTAGATTTCATCAGCATTCATTCTACTGAGGTTGATACAACTTCCCAAATAGGTGGAGTGGGCAAAACGCTGTACTATCCCACTCTATCCTCAACCTAGGAGTCAGTGCAGAATCAGTTCCGCACTATTATTTTGCATTTAATAGTAGCGCCAGGTCAAAAAAAAAACACGGCCAGTTTTCTACTCCGATAGGTATGCCTATGTCATAGAATATGCCGAAGCGTGAAAATATGATCAATTTACCCTTTATGAGTTTAAAGCCTGCCTGGTTTTCATGAGTTTATATCTTCCTACCATCGCTCAGTGTACGCAAGATTATTGGAACTCGGAATGACTCCAACAGTCTAATCGACTATCTTCGGAGGTAACTGAAGTACCATCTTTCTTGAAAATTCTTGATACGACTCAGATACTGAGAATGTAATTTACAGTGGTATCCTTTGGGATTCGCAAAACTCTAATGACCTGTACGAATCTGAGATTGGTAGTTATGTAAACTTTTTTGTGAGAGAGATAAAGGGGAATTATTTGTTAGCTATATAATATAATAATAATCCAGTCATTTTCTAAGTGTATTAAACAATGGTGTGTTAATATCACTACTAACACTTATACCGATTAAATTCAGACGGTATACGTATTTCTACATTTTATCTGTAACAAGGCATTCATATCTTTATTATTTTAAAACACAAGGTTCGTTTAGAATCGTAAGTATTTTTTGGTGTACTTAAATCAAAAAGATTGACAAATGATACAAAACTTTGAGTAGTTTCTCATCGGGTACGTCAGTTACACTTAGGTCTCCAAGTACACTTGAGATGTTGGTAAATAGGCGGCACTTCACGGTTCAACACAGTCATTCCTACAGTTGTTTACATTCATCAACATCATCATCATCCACACAGTAGATGTGGCTAACAGTTTTACTCACCAACCTGTGTCTGTGAGTTGTTACTGTGTTACTCTATTATTTCATCATCATAGGGAATCAGGATAAAAATTACTTGGTTGTTTTACTATTTATATTATCAGAAAATAAATTATATAACACACAGATACCATTATGATAAGTGTAAATATGTGTTTAATGTTAATACTTAACCCTGTTGCATTCTCCATTTCATCTACTTTCTGTATAAGTCATTGTGTGTGTACTTTTTGTTTGTTGTTGAGTACATAGCCCGAAAACTATGGTTAACTGTCAATGTATATCGTAGTTAATTCTGATTCAAGTCTATTTATTTTTGACGTTGAAGATTTCATTATCATATGAGATCTCACCGAGAAGTCGTGTTCTGCCCATTGTTTTACCTTCATCTTGTGAAGAACATATAAAATGGGAAGTCCAACTCCTATTTTTTTTCCTTCACGTTCCCCAGTGGAAAATAGGGCTTCAAGCCACTAGCTTGAAGTTTCTGTAGCAGTGTTAATTTTACAGGATGGGGTTGCTAGCCTCATGCCCAACCTTTCCTCTTCACCAGCTTTTATTTCTGGCTTAGCGAGGTAAAGGAGTGCGTCGGCCGGGGATCGAACCCCGGACTATTTTCATGGTCGGCAAGCGTCCTAACCGCTATGCCACCGGCGCCCAACTCCTATAGTCCTCAGCAATTTCTAGAGTTTATAGGGTTTCGATGATTTTACCTGTTGAATCACTTTCTGAAAATTGAGGAGATGTAAAACGCTTTCCAACCAACTGAAACCACTTACTCAGTGTAAAGAATACTAAAAAATTGAAAACAAAGCATAAATCAAAACGAAACCGAGTAGGTTTGTAAGTGGTTCAAGGAATTAGACTAATAATTGTGAATGTGAAGGTAGCTGCTGTTTTCAACTGGCAAAACGAAGATTATGCTTCCATGGTTGCTAACACAAATAGTCTTAGATTTATAGCAAATAGTATCACCCATTTCAGCTATAAGAAACATCATGACAGACGTTGGGTTTGTTGTCAATGATGTATATTTTTGCTGAAGCCTGTTTCGCTATGAGAATGGAGCTTTGTTTGTTACTAACTGAACATTAGTTAATAAACTTTGTTTATTATGCCTGTTGCGACGTAATAGTCTGTAAGCATCATTTTAAATAGTTAATTAATGAGATACTGCTAACGTTGTGCCATCAATGAGCATGCACTTGATTCTGACATGGTGGACACTATGGGCAACGACTTCTCATCAGAATTTCAGGACATCAATTCAATAGCCTGGAATAAGAAGAAGATTAGTTGGTGGATACACTACTATGGGGTGTCGCCAACAATTATTACCTCATCCAACAGTTGTACGACAATGCTGCATGCCAAGTAATCCACAACGGGAAACTTACGGAACCCTTCGAAGTGAGGACAGGAGTAAGACAAGGCTGCCTACCATCTCCAATGATTTTCTTGACTGCGGTAGATTGGATAATGCCACAGACAACGGGCAACAATGAGACAGGCATAAAATGGATCCACACGAAAAACTTGGAGGATCTGGACTTCGCTGGTGATATATGTCTGATTTCCCACAAACTGGAAGATATGCAAACGAAAAGCAACAAGTTGTCAGAAGAAGCATCCAGAGAAGATAGGACTTCAGGTGAACATAGAGAAAACAGAGGTGGTGAAGTTTCCTGGCCAACAGTAACAGCAACAACAACAACAGACAACAATCAGCATAAATGGGTGGAACCTGAAAGAAACAACATCTTTTACCTACCTGGGAAGTATCGTTTCAACTACAGGCGGAACTGACGAGGATATCAAAGCAAGAATCGGAAAAGCAAGACAAGCTTTCACTACTCTCAAGTCTGTGTGGAGGTCAACAGCACTTAGCATCAAAAATAAGATCGGGATTTTCAACTCCAATGTGAAGTCAGTCAGTGCTACTATACGGATCAGAGACTTGCACTGCGCGTCATAAAGAGCATCTCAAACAAACTACAGACCTTCATTAACAGTTGTTTTCGCTCAATTCTCAAGATCAAATGGCCAGAAAAGATCAACAACAAAGATCTCTGGCAATGAACGAACCAACACAGCAGGAACCGATTGTGAAACAAATAGGCAGGAAGAAATGGAGATGGAATGGCCATACTCTGAGGAAACCATCAAGTGACATCACTAGACAAGCCATTGCTCGAGTGGAACCCGGCCGAAAGGGAAGCGGCGGCGAGTTGGTCGTCGGTGTGAGGGTGACTTGGAGGAGGTCATGTGAAGAGGAGATGAAAACGTGTGGGCAGACTTGGAGCCAGGTGAAGACTCTAGCAGAGAACCCCTAGGAACTAAAGGAGACAATAATATTGATGATATGACCACTCATTATAATTTCCACTGTAAAACCATAAGCTGGATAATATCATCCATCTGAGTATCTTCTTTAAAGGACGTAACATTACTTTTCAGTGGTTCACTTTGCACACACGCACACACACATACACGTACCTTATCTAAACATAAAATAAAGAGTAATAAAAAATAGGGAAATACACTCAAAGTTCTCATTGTCTTTTGATAGAAAAAAACAACAAGACACAGGAGGAAGAAAAGGAATTGAGGAAATGTACTGTTACTATCAAGATGAAAATCAGATATTAACGATTAGTGGTCTGCTAAACTTTTTCTTAAGTCTTTTCCGCCGTCATTTTCCTTGTTTTCTTTGTAAATATGAACTTTTGACTCGTAATTCTCTGTTATGCCGTTACTAATCCTTGTTTAACAAATGTCAATTACTTTAATCAATCTGAGCCATCCCCTCCCTAGACGAGTAATATTAGCTAACATAGACTTAGATGTAGGGCTGGTCAAATCAAAGCGTAGCATCAGTACATGAAATCTTTGACAGTTGCTTTGAGCCAAATCAACTGCATGGTTATATTCCTCAAGACAATAAGAGTCAATGTTTTGAGACTATTAGTTATATGATATATATATAAGTTATATTTGTAAAATCAACGAAATGAAAAATAAGTAATTCAAACGTTTCGTTCAGCAAACTGGTCCGAACTTCTTGAGGGAAATTAATCGAAATTAAAATAACAAAGGCATACATATACATATGTATATATAAAGAACAGTAGGTTGAAGGTGAGGCAGTAACTCATCCAAGAAGACCTTGCGAAGTGGTCGCGCTATGTCATGAATTGGTAAAAGTTAGAATTCATGGGCTGACCATTTCGATGAGGTCCCAGTGGCTCAATGGTCTACGAGCTAGCTCGCCTTGTAACCAGAAGGTCCTGGGTTTAAACCCCGGTGGGTGCGTACGGATGAAGAGTCCTAGACTAGGACGAAACAGCTGTCCAGTACTCCCTGCAGGTTTTCCAATGGTTCTATTGAGTGTAGTGCAATCCTGATTAATAAATAAAAATGGATATGTATCACTAATCAATCACACTTGACCTAAATTCCTGTTTGTCATGGATTGGTGAACTTTATCTACGTCAATGTGCCTGTTGGTTGTTGGTTCACTGGAATACCACGCTTCCGGAAATTCACTGGCGTTCTTGGTGTTTCCTCTTCCCAATATTTTAGCGTTTTCCCTGTCGAATTGTAACAACTGCAAAAAACACTACAACGGCCAAAGTGGACGCCCTCTTCGTCTTCGTGTCCATGAACACAAAGTAGTCAAAAGACATGATATCCACTCCCTCATATCACTACATACAGACAACCACGGACATCAATTCGACTGGGACAACGTTCAAATATTAGACAGTGGAAATACCAAGAACGTCAGAGAATTTTTGGAAGCGTGGTATTCCAGTGAATCGGCAATCAATAAGCATATTGACGTGGATAAAGTTTATCAATCCATGAGAGGAAATTCCCATGCACAAAAAGACAAACTTCAGGTCAAGGAAACAATCAGTACCAATACAAATAGACTAGAGGGTGTGAAGATAGACAAGAGCAACCAGTCACGTTCAAGGTCACCAGGGGAGGCGACTAATAAACTCGTGGAAAAATCTGAAAACTCACTTCAAATTGAGGTATATGCTGAAGTTATTGCCTAGTTGGGCAATGAAGGCTTCGCAAGTAAACCATCCAGCTGGGAGAACACAACTACATCAAAGTAGTTTCTTGATTGGTTAGTTCCCAGAGTTTCTTGTCAATAATTCTTTCCGCCTATATGATGTTCAGTATGGAGTGAAGGAAGCTGTCGAAGAAAAAGAAAGTCTATGCATGGGTCATCATTAGTTTGGACTCAACAGTGTGGGTAATGTACACTACTAAAATGGTAGCTGCTTTTTGGTCCTACCATTTCGCCTTTCAATTTTGGCATTATTTCTAGTAATAATTGCTTCAGTAATTTACATTTTTGCATTACTCAGGAGGCCTGAGCAACTACATCAAGTTGTCTATCAGTGGTCAGTGTGAAATCAAGACATAGTAAATTATTACAGAATTCTTTATATTACTAATACTGTTCATGATATGTCTCCACTTCTCTAAATCTTGCCAATTGCTTCTTTTTTTATTTTCTTAACTAAGGGCTATCTACACCAGTATGCAGAAGATCAACACCTGAATGATTCATCCTATTCACCATCGGAAAACTGTGAAACTCGGAAGTCTTCGGTTCAATCTGTTGAAAAGAAATCTGCTCAAAGTTTAGCTAATCAAGCATTTGACAAGATGGAGAAATTAGTTCGGCGTGTCAGTCACAAAGCTTTAACAAATAATTTTATTTTAAATAAATCCAGTGTATCCTCAATTTTATCGAATCAAGAACTTTGTCCCAGTAAAGAGGATCGTTTACGTGCTATTATCGAACCCTACGAAACGGAAATCTCGCGTCTACAACAAATTCTTATCAATCATTCCATTCCGTTTAATGCTACAGCGTCACATCCTGGTATGTTGAGTGATATATATATATATATATATATATATATTATTTTTTCATATTTATTTGTTATCCTATAGTGATGATGCCATACTTTGAGGATCATTTTAAGAACCTTAAGACAATTCATTTAGTGAGCAATGTTGCCCAGTGGCTAAATGGTCAACGCGCCCGCTGTGTAAAACAAAGCTATTGGGTTCGATCCCCGGTGGGATCATCAGTGTGAACTGTTGAAGAGCCCCAAACTGGAACGAAACAGCTTCCCAGTACCCTCTGGTTTAGTATATACATATACAACTGGTAGCCTACTTTAGATATGTCAACGAGTATAGAATGGTCGATCTCAGCTCAATAGTGAAATGCAAATGAATATGTTGCTACTATTTTTTTAAAAAGATTTTATCACTTTGCATTTCGGGTGGAACATAGGGTTTCAAGCTTGAGCTTTGACATTTCTGTAGCAGTGCTGTTTATTTTTTACGGGGTGGGGTACCTATCCTCATGCTCAAACTCCTCCATTCACTGGGTTTACAACTACTTGGTAAACTAGGTTCAGGAGTGCGTTGGCCGGGGATTGAACCCCGGACCATCATACATGGTTGGCGAATGTGCTACCATTGAACCACGAACGCACTCTAAATCATCTCTTAATCAGGAATTCATGGTAGTTAAAGCCAAGTTCTAGTGAATAACGCGCCAGTTAGAAAAAACGGTCTGCAGCATATCTACAGCTTCATATTGAATGAAGGATAATCATTATATATATATATATGCCTGTCAAATACGCATTGTTTTGTATGTCAATCTATAAATTCTATGAATTGTTTGCCTACTTGATTGGATAAATGCACTAGTACTGAAAATTATATCATTCAAAGTTAACTACAATACTTTTAAATTGTTATAGTATTTTTAACATGAGGTGCGAATACCGTGTTATAATTTTCGTGATGGGTCTATTGAGGTGTACTTATTGTTCAGGGGCTATGATTACCATTTTGACTATGAAAATCTTGGTAAATCCAGTGGGATTTTAGCTTATGACAGCATATTTAACAACTATTTGCTGAGTATCGTAACTTTGTAGAAATCTGTACAGAATTGTGTCAGCTTAAGTCGTGACACTTCGGTGTAGTACACATATACATATAGAAAATCTGGATGGTGATAAGTAGTATAGGTAAATGTGGGCTTTTGTGAACAATTCAAAGGTATTTTTCCCAAGTCACCCTAACTGCTGATTCGTACCATATATAAGGCTAAATGTGTGGGACTTTCGTCTCCCTGTACATGACCTTTTTAAGTTGACATCATATTTGGTTTCAATCATTGCTAACCGTTTCATAGCGTAATCTTACTTCAGTTAATTCTCTTTCCTAATAAGGGTTCAGTGATTAAACATGTGTAACATATGTTGTCGGCACTTCAATAAATGAAACTTCACAACCTCATCGATTGAGTTCCCTTTTATTTTCCGTACATTTAATCTCATTGTTGGTTATCATGTTGTTCCATTTCTCATGAACAGTTGAACGGTGATAATTATCAATATAAAGCTCATATATATATATCTTTAACCTTTAGAAGCTTTATAGTACGACAACGAACTGTTGTAAGCTCCTACACACTAGCTATAACTTTTTAGTCAAAGATAGTACAAGCTGGTTAGTGTCGAACGAGCTATTCCTATCATCTTTGAGATTTCGACAGCGACTAGTTCATTTGGACTGGTGGAAAACTTCTCAAATAAGTGAAGCGGTTAGTCATTTAAAGTACTGATGCACAGATCATTCCATCGTCTCTATCCTGCCTACCTCCAGTAACTTAAGCAAGATAATTATTTATTAGTTTAATATTGTGTAACATTTGAATGAGATGAATATGATGGATCCATGTACAATTCATAATTTTAATAATCTTTATTTTTTAAGTCACTCCACTGATATAGTGTCTTTAGTAGAAAATGCACGTTGGCATTCTAATGTATATATATATATATATATATGGTTTTAATTGACCAATCTCTACTTCGCACCTACTACCTGGAGCTTTTACACAACATACTTGATAAGTAGGCTATTGTCGAAATTTGTGTATGACAGCTAAACAGTATTTTTTGCCTTAGATTTTATTCTTCTGGCAAATGTCTGAGATTTTGTGAGTAGTAGTAGTGTGGTGAGAGCTGTCTGCTAGCCAAAATTAATAGACAGCAATTTACGTCAGTGTTTACTTCCAAAATCTTGGTCATGAGAAAAAGCAAGAACAAAGACTAACCTTGAAGAACTCAACAACCAATCACAGTAGACTTAGCGTGGGTGGATACGATTAGCAGATATATCAACGGCCTGTCTAAGAAACGGCAACAAAGAGATGGCAGAATAACCTTCAGCAGGAAAACAACCAATCAAAAGACGTTGCTTCTCCGCTAACAATAGCGAATAATAATGTACATAGAAATCTATAAATATCTGTTGATTTTCTCAATAAACGATGTGTTTCCTGGCCCTTGTCTTCTGTCATTGCAGTAGTAGCGTGCCGTCGATAGTTCAGTGTTCGAGTGTTCGACAACCATGCATGTGGCTTGGGATTCGACTCGTCGCCAACTCACTCCTCAATGTTGCCTCACCAGCAGCAAGCTCGGCAAAGGGGGGAGATTGGTTATGAGACTAACAATCTCATCCCCTAGAAACAAACAACACCACCGCTACTGAAACTCCTAACCTCAAGCTTTAAGCTTGATCACGGAGTAATATCAGTTAGAAAACCACTGAAAGCCAGGGAGTACTGGACAGCTGTTTCGTCAGCCTAGTCTGGGACACATTGACAGTATTCACCCTCCGCCACAGTTACAACCCAGTACCTCTTGGTTACAAGGCAAGCTCGTAAACCATCCAGCCACTGGCACCCAACTCAATGGCCCAATGAAAATTAGTTTGATACTCGCTAGTGACGACTGGCTACAGGACGGAGTTTCCTGGAGTCCTAGTGAGAAGTCGTGACCAGTAGGGTCCATGCTGTCGGAAGTGAGGATAAATGCTTGCCGATGGCATTGGCTGATGGTCGGGCTAAAATCACGAATTCGCCGAGGTTAGAGTTCATTGGCTGTTTGAATAGCCTACGAGCTTGCCTCGTAGCTAGAAGGCCCTGGCTTCGAAACCCAGTAGGTGCCTACTGATGAAGAGTCCCAAAATAGGCTGACGAAACAGCTGCCCAGTACTGCCTGTAGGTCTCCACTGATTCTCTAACTGAAATCAACTTGAAACAAATCAAATCCCTACAGACGAACTCTTGAAAACTCAAGCCTTAGGCTATATGCTCCACTCGAAACGCAAACGAATGAATAAAGTAGTAGTAGTAGTGGTAGTCTTAGCGCAATTAACTGTTTAAGTAGTGTTGCACGCAATATTGATCATCCCCTTTAATTGCTTTAATGATTACGGGAAAAAGAACTCATTTCAATATGTATACCACATGTTGTTTCTCAGTCACATGTTCCAGAATAGGCTTTATTGAAGTGCAGTTAAAACAGTAATTTTTGCTCTAACCAAAATGAAACAAAAGTTGATGCACACCACTAGACTAATATTTCTTCTCTCTGTTTGTTTTCATATTGCCGGGTAAAAAACAATAACAAGTAAATTGGTATCTTCATTTTTATTTTTTCATACACAGTATATATATAAATATGCACATTTTTACTAAAGCTTCGAAACAGCACTTATTTTCACTACAGTCGTTGGAGGTGAAATTAAGTAGTCATTTAGCAAAGGAATTTTTTAAGCAATATTATTGTGGTGATGAGCCATCCGCCACGTAGATTGTAATTATTTACCAGTGTTGGCGTCTATATACACTCAAAGTTGTTATTATTATTATTATTATTAATCCGTTCCTTACGTTTCAAGTGGAACATATGGTTTCAGCAGAATGTCTCCGTTGCACTCGGTCTTTCGCAGTTACTTTCAACTAGCCAACTCAGCGGCTGTCTGTAAGCTTTCATTTCTGCTTCACATGGTCTTCTTCATATCAGTCTTGGAAGTCCAGTCCATCTCTTCTTCTTCGGATTCCACTTGAGGGCCTGCCGTGTCATGTAACTCAACGATCTCAGTGTATGTTCTGTTCGTCTGAATTTCCTTCTGCCTATATTTTCATTGGTTCGCCGCCTACTAGAGTTTCTTGTTGCTTGCTTACTCTTTCTTCTCGGCCGTCAAGCGAAGTGGGCATTTGTTGATTAAAAAGTCCACATCAACCTACTGAAAATGTTCTTGTTCCTTCTGCTGATTGTGTGTCGTAGATCTCTACATCGATTCCGTAGTGATGAACACTTGTGTCTTGCTTTTTCTACCATGAGCGGCTTTGACATCCTTATCTGTGCCGCCTATAGTTAGAACGATGCTGCCTAGATAAGTGGAAGAAGTGACTTCCTTCAGATTTCTTCGGTTGATGGAGATTAGTGCTTTTTGTTTCTGGTTAGGTATCTTCATCATCTCTGTCTTCGCTATGTTTATTTAGAGTACTGTCTTCGCTTCCTGTTCTGCCAACTTCTAGGTTTTAACCTGTAGATTTTCGGGTCTGTGAGAAATAAGAAATAAAGCGTCTGCGAATTCCAGATTTTCTAGAGTCTTTTTATGGGCCCAGTATGCTTCTGTCTTCTCGCTCCCCATCGTCCGCCTCATGATTCAGTTCACCACAATCAGGAGTATCATCTGTGATAGTAGGCAGTCTTGTCTTATTCATGTTTTCACTTCAAAAAATTGTTGGTGAGCTTTCTGATGTTAATTACTTGGCATACAGCTTCATCACATAGTTGTTGAATGAGATTTATAAGTGTTTTTGGCGTTGCACTCCGTAGTGTTAAATCAGCTCCTAATTTAAATCATGGCCAACACTATTAGAGGCCTTCCCAAGTCGATGAAGTTGTGGTAGAGGGTTGACTGCTCTTCGATACTCAGTTGGATGATGACGCTTAGCGCTGCAGTTTGTTCCCTATATGACTTATTTTCTTCCTC